ATTGTATATTGGCTCCCAGCTGGCCTGGGCCAGGTCCAAGGCAGCGGGGGCCGGTCCCTCACTGTTTCCAGGATGGCTTTGTGGGCTACATGAAACCACTTTGTGGGCCGCATCCGGCCCCCGGGCCTTATGTTTGACATGTCTGGACTATTTTATTGGCCAAGTGTGACAGACACATAAGAAATGTGTGTCTATCACACTTGGAAGGCAGGCTAGTTGCAACATGTTTTTTTTCTGCAGTCCTAACTATCCCTTGAAATCTGTACCTGCCCTGTTTGTTTGCTTTGCCTTCAGATTTGTTTTTAAGCAATGCGGCTTTTCTAAAAAGTAGGAATATCACATAGCTAATACTGTATGGTATCCCAATATCCATGGGCACTCAAATTAAATCCTTTAAAAAAATCCATATCATTATTCATGCTAATAAAAAAGAGAGAGCCCCCATAGATTACTCTAACTGTCTTTTCCAGGAAAACGCTCACATGACATGTTCAGTCAGGCAATAAGAAGGACTCAATTGTTGTGTTGATTCATACAGCACAAATCAGAACTGTAGCATAAGCAATGCTCAAAGAGCCACTTTGTACAAGCAGAATACATGCTGTCTCCTCCTAAATATGCTGTGGCTGCTTATTCGTATTTTGCAATAGAAGTGGCAATTGTTTGCTATTGCATAAGCCAATGTAAGTAGGTCACGATAAATCCAGAACACAATACACATGTCACTCTGAATACCAGGAATTTCCAAGTGAGAAAGCATTCCCAGATAGATTATTTCTGGACACTAGGAAGTCCCACCTCCAGGCTTCTTGTAGTACATGCCATCACAAAGCCAGTTCCCATAGCAACAGTCATCCATCAGCTTTTTATTGCATCAGTGCTCCTTGACCTAAATGCAGATTCATTTAACTCTTAAGAAGCTTATTTTCATTTGTGGAATAGCTTTTGATATGTAGGCTATTCTGAAATGCCTTTGTGCATAATGAAGGCCTAACAAATATCTGGCTCATAGTTAACAAGAAAGAGGAGATGACGTATGGAAGAGATAGAGTTGTTCTTATCCATCATGTTAAGCTATGAGTTCTTTTAATCTTGGCTTGCTTGGTTAGCTGCAGCAGCACTCTTATATTTTAAGCTTAAAATCAGGTAGTAATGAAATCACATCCTAAAAATATTATTCCATATGAAGTAATAGAAGTCTTTCTTTACAGATATAGGTAGATTTATTATTTTAAAATTGTTTTTGTTGAGTTGCTCTTCAGCTCTACGTGTTTCACTTTGCTCTTCCATGGCTTCTAGAGCTTCAATTCTGGTTTCATGAGAGTAAACAATTATTTTCTTCCCAAGTCTCACTTCTTAGATATATTCTTTCTTGCCCAAATCTCTTCCTGTTTTGCCTTCCTCTTCCTAAGTTTACATTTTTTACCAACTAATGTAGGTGAGTTGTTATCTTCAAAGGACTGTGGTTCTTGTTAAACTTGTAGAAATTCTTACTAATTTCCTGGCTAGCCTTTGGCTGCAACAATCAACTTTTATTTGACTTGACATCATTAAACTTGACCTGACTTGCTAAACTCTTGCAAACATGCATGCAAATTTTTGATTGTCAACACAGATTGGCCACAATTTCCCTGGATTTGGGGCAGGTGTTTGATCATCCCACCTTGGAGGTACCATAATTGAATTTGGGATTTTCTACATGCCCAAACAGGTGTTCCATCTTGAGTCATAGCTCCTACCATTTACAGACCTGCACATATCAATTTACCCTCTGCCAATTGCTGGCTAAATATTTCCATTATCAACTCTAGCACTTAACCATGCTTGGAAAGAAAACTGAAACCTAACCAAGCACTTGGGATGGTTAGCCAAGGTTCCTTCAGTCTATTACTCACAATTTCCCTGTAATTATTTTCTTGGAAGTTCCCTCCATCAATAGGCAAGTGTTCTGCGGTGATAAAAATGTAACGACTCCCTAAGAAAAGATCCTCACTTCTCTGAAATTTCCCACATCTTTGTTTTTATTGCCATTATTAGCTCCCATCAGGACCTTGGAGAGGTTTCTGTGGTTGACCTTTTTCCTATTTTCTCTACAAACACCAGGACTCCAACTTGGCTATACATGATGTGAATGTCTTTAAGGTTGCTGAACACACAGGTTTTCTCTGGAAATGAGCGCACCCATCTGGTCCAGGTTTCCCAGTTTAAATTTGATTGAACTATAAAGGCAAATTGAATGAAGATAACTTCTAGCCAGCCAGGTGAGAGATATTTGTTCTGGCAGGGTGTAGATGTTTAACAGATTGGATTACATTTTCATCCAGTTTTGCGAGAAAGGGTTGCTGTTGTTAACCATGGGTTTTGGGGACTAGAGGGCTCTTGACTGAGATGTCAACACATTGCCCTAAGACAGGGGTGTCAAAATGCCGGCCCTCCGGCCGGATGCATCATAACAAAACTGTGCTCACCCCATTGCCGGCAATGGCAAAAAAATCACAATACGTCGCGACCCACAGGTTGAGAACCGCTGTCTTAAAGAAACAAAGGAGCACTAAAATATTAGAGTTCAAATAAATAAATATTTCCTCCATGTGGTAGCATTCTGCAGGGGTTGAGTAAACTGGACTACCATCTCACTGTGCAAAGTGAAAGGATCCAGGTCTTGATCCTTCTTGGATATCAAAGGAAAGCAAAATACACACCTACAAATTTTTATTTTTTAAAATACAGATTGGAAAAAATTGTTCCAGGCCATTCCAGCCATTCTAACTGTTATCAAGTTTTTACCTTAAGTATTATTAACGATTTCCCAACCATGTGTCACTTCCTTAAGATTCTTGTTATCTGAAGAAAATTCCTGTGATTAATGGAACCATTACAGGGCCTTTGTTATTGTTACCTTGCCTTTCCTCCAAGGAGATCCTAGTGCTGGATATTTTTCTTATCCCCAGTTTGGCCAAAGGCTTTTAATCCTCTCACCTTCTCATAGCATTGATTAAAACTGGTCTCCTTAAACCCAGAGGGTGAGTTCAGCTTTTCTATGGCCCAGAAAGCCTTTAGATAACAACATGGCATTCCACAGCAACTCTCCAGACAGGGCATGCATAGTGAAGCTCCATAGCTCTCCAGTCAAGCTTCCAGCTCTAAATAAATACAGTGTTGTTCCAACTCTGGCAGGCAAAGAAGAGATGTGTGGGAAACTGCTGGAATCTGCCTAGCTTGTTGGAAACAGAGACACACCCAGATCTTTGATTTTGCTTTTTACTTCAGTCTTGGCTGGTACCAAGTTCCAGCACAAGCTAATACTGGCCTCTTAAAAGCTTTTAAGACCCGAATGAATAAAGTATCATTGAGAAAATAGGCAATTTCTATCATCAACTACACCAATCAAAATTATAGGCCTCATTCAGCCTTCAAATTAAACTATGGTTTGTTAGCAATGCCAGCATGGAATACACTTACAACAGTTCATTTACTGACCGTCACAACAGAACTGAAAAAAGCAGCTTAAAACTATTTTCACAATACAATTGTTGGTCTATATTTGGATACTTGGCAACTGGCTCATAGTTACGATGTTTAGGGTCAAGTGATCCCCTTTTGTGACTTTCTGATAAGCAAAGTCAATACTGACTTAACAACCATGTTACTAATTTAACAACTGCAGTTATTTACTTAAAAACTGTGGCAGCACGGTTGTACAATGGGCCAAATTTCACTTTACAACTATTTCATTTAGCAACAGGAATTTTGTGCTCCATTGTAGTTTTAAGTTGAGGACTACTTGTAAAACATCACTGGCAAGATTCACACAACATTCCGAGCATTAAATTACAATTGACAGACAAGAAAGGCTGGTTTAGCACACCATCCAAGTCAAAACTCAAGCAAGTACAACCTGACTTACTGTGCTGTGAGTCCAGCCAAGAGTAGCTTGTACACATATCCCTTGACCCATATTTACATATATTGGTATGTGAGAATGACCTTGGGAAAAAGGAAGAATTGCAGACTAGACCTTGATCTAATAAATAAAATTTTGAGTCCACAGGTGGAAGGAGAGTGGAGCAAACAAACTCTCCTGGTTTACAGGAGAGTAAAGTGAGGGATGGGTACTAATAACTCAAGGTTGAAATGAGGGGTCCTTGGTGCTCTCTGAGCTTGGTTATTTCCTTGCAATGGATGGAAACTTAATCAAGGAGAGACCCAATCTAAAACTAAAGAGAAATTTCCTGACGGTGAGAACACTTAATCAGTGGAACGACTTGCCTCCAGAAGTTGTGGGTGGTCCAACATTGGAGGGTTTTTAAGAAGAGATTGGACAGCCATTTGTCTGAAATGGTATAGGGTTTCCTGCCTGAGCAGGGGGTTGGTCTAGAACAGGGGTCCCTAGTCCCCAGCCCCCACTCCATGGACTGGTACCAGGCTGCAGCATGCCAGCAACTGGGCCGCACAAACAAGCAAAGCCCCATGCGCCACATGCAGACAGCACACAAAACCACATCCCCTCCGGGTCGGCAGAAAAAAACTCTGGTCAAACCTGGGGCCCAAAAGGTTGGGTGGACTAGAAGACCTCCAAGGTCCCTTCCAACTTCGCTCTTCTAATATTCTATTACCCAAACTGGTAACATCATCAGGAGGGGGTACTTTCCAACTTACAAGACGCTATTAAGGTCACTTTTCAGTCAAGACAGAGCTGGCGTTTATTGCTCGGCTTCTTGGCTGGCCTACCTCGAAGGGGGGAACCATTGCAGGAGCGCACACAGCAAGGGAGCCACCGACCTCCACCGGCTGCCTCTCTGCCGCCTTCCAATTAGTGGAAGCATAAACAGATGGCCGGGGGGGGGGGTGTTGTTATTTAGAACCGCCGCTGACGTCACGAGCTGGCCAAGTACTGTGCAGGTGTTGTGTCCATCTCTCCTGCCGGCTCAGAGCTGAGCGGGCTACGCAACCAGGAGCTGCGGCGGAGCGCTCCTCCTTCTCCTCCTCCTCCTCGCTGGAGAAAAGCGTCGCCTGGACCGCGCGCAGCAGCGACACTCGGCACTGCAAACGCCCTCGGGAGACGCTGCCTTGGTAGCTGGCCCGGTCGCATTGCATCTCCCAGCTCCAGGACCTCGGGAGGAGACGGAGGCGGGTGAGAGCAGGAATCGGGGTAAGCAAAGGGGACGAGGCTGATGGGGGGGGGGGGGAGAGGGAGAGAGAGAGAGAGAGAGAGAGAGACGCCGACTCCGATGGTGGAGGGCTCGACCTGGTGCGGTTGACCCAACCGCGCTTGGCTTCGACCCACCCAACGGTGGATGGAACCCAGCCCAGCTGAAGCCAACGTTGCCTAGGTCGGCGAGACACGGAGGAGAGCGTGAGTCAAGGGGTCGATCTGAGGAAGAAAGCGGGGGCGGGGAGAGTCTGAGAGATCGCCTTCCCCAATGCCCACCCCCAGCTTGGCCAAGCGGTGGTGACTTCAGTCGCCTGTCGCGTCTTTCTTGGACCCAAGCCGCGGGGGAGAACCCCAGAAGGCCGGGGAGGCGAGGAGGAGGAGGGAGCTGGGCACGGTGGAGAGACTAGGGTGACTTCACCTCCGCGTGGAAAAGCCTCTTCCCATGATCAGCTTCCTCTGCCCCCCCCCCCAACTCTAATCGACGTTAGCAGCGGAATTCAAGAAAATTCTAAGGTATTCTCACTTCCCCTGCTCATCCTACTCGGCCAAATCCTGCTAGCCTTTATCTGTTCCCCTTTTAAAAATATTGGCAGCTCACCTGGCTGCATCTTGTATTGCGGAGTTTCTTGCTTTAAATCTTCCTGGTGTGAAAGGTTTCTCTTGTTCTGTCCAGGTTTGATCAGCTGCGCTGAATTCGAAGGGATGGAAATTTCATTTATTTTTCTTCTTCCATTTTTATATCACGAGTAATTTTATACCCATTTTCTTCCTCAGCATCTCTAAGCTGCATTTGTAACCTTTCCCTCTCCCACTCCTGGCCCTTAATAATTTAAGATGCTTATTTTACTGCATCTTCTGGAGTTCCAGAGTATTTTTTTTTTAAAAAAAAAAAAAGAGATGTTAGATAAAATCCCAAATTTATTGCAGTATTCTGCCCCTTGGGTCTTCAGACTCGTTTGATTGATGTTTCAGGACCCCAGGAAGCTGCCTTTTCTCAAATCTTACAATTTATTCCTCTAGTATTAATAAAAAGATAATAATAGATGTAGCTTAGAGCTTAGTTGTTTGCTAGCAGATGTTTCACTCTCTCTCTAGGTCAGAAATAGGCACCCTTTCCATGTACAGGCAATCCTTGACTTATAGCCATTGACTTAGTGACCATTGAAGGTTAAAATCACACTGAAAAAAGTGACTTGTTGACCGATTTTCACACTTACAATCAGTGCAGCATCCTCACAGTCACGTGATCAAAATTTGGATGCTTGGAAACAGGCATGTATTTATGACAGTTGCCAGGGCCATGTGATCACCATTTCTAATTTTCCCAGCTAGCTTCCGACAAGCAAAGTCAAGTGGGGGGGGAGCCAGGTTCACCAACCACATGACTCACTTGTGAGCTGCAGTAGTTTGCCTAACATCTGTGGCAAAAAAAGAAAATAAAATGGGGCAAAACTCACTTATCAACTACCTTGCTTAGCAAAGAAATGTTGGGTCCTGTTGTAAGTTGAGGATTACCTGTATTGTTATTATCTGGATCACTTCTTTTCCTAATTTATTATTGTACTTTGACTCCACCCTGTGCTCCGAATCCACTGGGTGGATCACACGAACACCCCCCCTCCCGAAACAAAATGCAAAACAATGAAAGTTAATCAATAACATTGAGCGGTGTCAAACCAACATCTGCTCTCCCAGCATAGAACAGGAACAGGAAAACAAGCTGATTGCAGATGTTAGAGCCAAAGAAAGAGTTTTAACTTGGCACCATTAAGATAGCAGCATTTTATATTCACAATAGGCTTTTCTTAAGTGGGTCTTCTAGCCAAAAAGGCCATCTTGCTTGTAGCCATCAGCCTCACTGGACTTAGCAGGGGCATCCAAAGCAATACCAGTAAAGAACCTGGAGGAGGTCTTATCTGAGAGAAGAAATAAGATCACCAAAGATAATAAGGGTTCTGGAGGCTAAACCCCATGATGAACTAGACATGTTTCGTCTAACGAAGAGCAGGCTTAAGGGAGACCTAATAGCAGTCTTTCAATACTTGAAGGGCTGTCACGGGGAAGTGGGTGGCAATTTATTCTCCATCGCGCCTGAGCGTAGGACAAGAAGCAATGCACAGAGACTCATAAGAGGGAGGTGCACCCTGGAAATAAGGATGAATTTCCTGACAGTGAGAATGATTAGCCAATGAAATGGCTTGTCTCCCAGCATTGTAAGTGCCCAAGAAAAGATTGGGCAACCATTTGTCCAGCATGGAATACGGTCTCCTACCTTGAGCAGGGGATTGGACTAGACCAGAGGTAGGCAACCTCGGTTCTTTTATGACTCGTGGACTTCAATTCCCAGAATTCCTGAGTCAGCATAGCATAGCTGATTCAGGAATTCTGGGAGTTGAAGTCCATGAGTCATAAAAGAGTCGAGGTTGCCTATCCCTGGACTAGACGTTCCAGCTCTAGGATTCTATGGAAGTCTGTGCCCCAAGACTTTAAATGCGACCTTCTTCTGGACTTCTTTTCTTTTCCTGTTGATTAGAAACATTTTGTTGCTTATGCAAGTAGCCTTTTCAGTCTGAGCAAATTGGTTGGGGTCCCTGGAGGACACATATAGAAGACCCTCAATCAACTTGCTCAGACTGAAAAAGCTACTTGGATAAGCAGAGAAACATTTTGAACCAACAGGAAAAGAAATCCAGTCACCATGACTCAGCTTCCAAACTAGTCAGCTTCAGTTTGCTGATTCCCCATGGTGGAAGCCAAACAATCTGGCTAATTTTAGTCATGACGGGGGTCTGCCTACCTCCTCCCTGGGGTTGTTTCTTCCCTCATGTTTCTTCTACTTTAACTTGGGAAATGCCCAAGTAGGATAGACAAATGAGACAGGAAGAGGCTGGGAATGAAACTCACCCATTTCTGCTGCTCTGACTGGTGGATCCTCCAGGCTGGTGACAATTGACAGGAGACAGTCAGAGAGCCTGAGGGGAAAACCAACGCAGTAGAAGTACCCCATTCCACAGTGACTCAGAACAGATGCAACAGAGACAGAACAGAGACTGGTAACGAGGACCGCAATTGTTTTGTGCCTTCTTAAGGGATGGGTGGATTTTCCTAGCCAAGTAACGCGGGAAGCGTGAAAAGAATGTGACTTCTAGCTGACTTATTATCTTTGTTCCATTTTGCCACCTTGGGTTAGATTGCAAGGTCTGCATTTGTGAATTTTCCAAACTAGGGATTCATTTCTGAGATAATTTAGCTCGCTGTCAGCCTAAATCCCTTGCTGGTTGTACAGTCCCTATGGAACCATGTAAGGCAGGGAGCACTGAGCTCACTTCTACAAGCAATAAGCATGGGGCACTACCGGGGAGGGTGTGGTATACAAAGCATTTTACCACAATAGTTCTTAAAATGCCAGAGTGCCTTAAACAGAAAAACAGATCATTCCAGATCAGCAAGAAATATAAAAAGCTGACATAAAACATCCAGTTTTACAATCATACTGCCTCTCGCTATGCACACAAAGCACCACAATGATCTAGTCCAGGGGTAGTCAACCTTGGCTCTTTTATGACTCGTGGACTTCAATTCCCAGAATTCCTGAGCCAGCTTAGCTTAGCTGGCTCAGGAATTCTGGGAGTTGAAGTTCACGAGTCATAAAAGAGCCAAGATTGACTACCCCTGATCTAATCAGTGAGGAGCTGTCTTCATTGCAGGTGTAGCAAGGAATAAATAAAACTGTTGCATGAGGAAAAGCAAGCTCTGCTCTCCAGCAAAAGCTATAGACTTGCGGCCCCAACTGAATTGCTTTGTTTCTATCATTCTACAGACGCATAGAAATTCTCGTTGGCAAATTTAGTCCCTGTCCTTTTGTTAAGATTCCTAGAGAACCTTCCCCAATCCTTGGTAAAGTCAACTTCCGGGCTGAAATTATTATTCTGCAATCACAAATGGTGTGCATTTTTAAAAAAATAAAACTAGGTCAAATGTATCCATCAAAGAGATTTTACCAGATGGGCTGTCAATTCAGAACAGCTCTATTGAAAAGGCCTCAATAACAGCTCTTGATTCCATTGGATCATCAAAAGCCTGGGGAAGGGCGCAGTAGTTGTTTTGCTTGAAAATGGTAAGGCTTAATGGCACTGTTATCGAAGAGATAACTAGGAAAGTTCCTAGGCCTCGTTCTTGGCCTGTGAGAAAGGCTGGTTTCCTAGGAGACCAGATACCTCAAGGACAAAGGAATTGCTTGCGCATCCTTTTCTCTTGTGCTCCCTCACAAAGTTAAAAACAACACATATCAAAGCATCTCTTTGTTGTGTCTTCATGTTCAAGGTTTAGGAGCTCAGCAAAAACTTGTTATTTCAACTTCATGTCATGGTCTAATGTTTTTTTTTTCCCCTATGCTTTCCAAGCATACTATATATGCGGCTAATAAGATAAACATGCAGAGTTGAGTAATATTATGTGGGACCTCCACAGTGATCTACACTGATCTGAAGATTTGTACAATCTGTGTTTGAATAATCACTGAAGCCCAAAGATTTACTTGTGATATGCAAGCTCTACAGATAAATGCAGAGTCTTTAAACTTGATTCCCCATCCTTCGGCAGCTCAACATCTGGTGTGGGCTCAAATGGAAGGTATGGACAGGTCTCCTTAATTTCAGAGGACCTAAACTCCAAACTGTTCTTCGCTTAACTAGCAATTCTTGTTTTGTTTGGTATGTAGAATAAGCAACAATGAGGAAATCACTTGGGACCAGTTGGATTTTACTTCTCCTGCTCCTACTCCAAATGGAACCCTCTCTTTCCAAGAAGAAGCCTAAACCTGGGGGTGGCTGGAATACCGGGGGCCAGCGCCCACCTGGTTACCCCCAGCAACATCCTCCAAACAGACCTAACTATCCACAAGGCGGTTACCCTCAACCTTATCCTGGGCATGGAGGAGGCTACGGAGGAGGCTATGGAGGTGGCTATGGAGGTGGCTATGGAGGTGGCTATGGAGGCAGCCAATATGGCAAGCCCTGGAAGCCCAAACCACCCAAGCCCAAGATGAAGCACGTGGCAGGAGCAGCTGTGGCCGGAGTTGCGGCAGGTGCACTGGGTGGTTACCTCTTAGGCCGTGCCATGTCCAACGTGCCGTTTATGTTTAGCAATCCTTCTGAGCAGCAGTGGTGGTATCAAAACCGTGACCGCTACTCCGATCAAGTTTACTACCCAAAGTATGACCAACCAGTTTCAAGGGACATCTTCGTGAGAGACTGCACGAATGTCACCGTGACCGAGTACGTGGAGCCCAGTGGGAACAAGACAGCAGATGAGATGGAGAGAAAGGTGGTGACCCAGGTGGTACACCAGATGTGCACGGAGCAGTACAAGTTGATGTCAGGGGTTGCTTCGCTGCTTGCCAACCCTTCTGTGCTTGTAATGGTCACCCTGATCTTATGTTTCCTGATACACTGAGTTGTTTTCCTGAAGATTCTCTCTTGTTGAGCTAGCAGTGTGGAGAAGGGACCTCTATAAAAAAAGTATACACCTGCTGGGAGATTACATTCCTGTATGTGCAATTTTTAATGGGTGTGTGTAAGAATTGTTCTATCTCCTAAGTATTCTTGAACATACTGGCTTCTTCTGAGCACACCATGGTCCCTTCATAACCACTGTGATTCTGTCTTTAGCTGCAAAACATTTTTGGGTGGGGAAAGGAGGGACATAAGATCACTTTATAACAAACCCACCCTGCTAGAAATCTCACTCCATTCTCAAATATTGACCATTCAGCCTGCGCTTGCACACAATATAGTAACATACATAAGAACGGGCAAGTAATTTTTGGCCAGCTGCCACTATATTGCACCTTGCTAGAAAACTTTTTTGTTTTCATATGTAATGCAGCAATCATTTTGTATTATCACAAAGTCTGGCACCCTAAAAGACCAACTATGTCTTCACAAGGAAAGATTTGCATTTTTTTAAAGGGCTTTGGCAACTAGAGTTGTACGATAGCCTTGGAGCTCTTGAGTGGCCCGTCCACCATGACTGATTCACACATGGACATTTTGAAGGCTATTCCACATGTAAGAATAAACTTATGGCCTATGAAGCACAATTGTTGCCGATACACAGCATGTGATTGATCTTGCTGAGGCCGAGTACTGTAGCCTTGAAACAAAAATACCATGGTGGAAATACTTTAATAAGAGCAGAAAAAACTTAAAATTATAACTCAGTTTTTGGAATGTGAATGAGCAGATTGAAATATCATTTCTGTTAAGAAATAATTTCTGAAATGATTTCCAGAAATCTAAAGCTATTGAAAACTTTTCATTGCCACAGTGGTATTTCAGAGTCCAAGGGTATGACGAAAAATATCCCTTATAAGTAGACTGAGAATATGAAAGATATAGTCATCTGCCAGAGAGGACTTCAACTTCTCTCCTCGTAAGTGATAATTGTTCTGATTCAAATGGGACAAGCTGATCAGAAAGTTTAATATTAATGATTCAGTTCAACGTCAGGAGTAAGGTAGCATCCAATAGTTCCTTGGACCACAAAATCACTAGGAATTTGAAGGTTTTAACTCTGCAAAACTTTGGGAATAACTTTCACTTCTAGGACTTCTGGCTTCTTTGGAGAGTCAGAGAAATATTCAGAAAGAAACTGGAATTTAGAATTGTCTCTGGAACAACTGGAGAACCCAAAAGTGCTGCTAATTCACGGAACACTTTTGGAAGTGGGGAAATATGTCATCAGTGCTGGTGTCTCAGCAGGCCCTAATATTGCTAGTTAGAACATAAAACATGCATCATGGGGCTAGAAGGGACGTCTTGTCCAGCCCCTTGCTTGAGGCAGGAGACCTCATACCATCCCAGTCTATTAAGCAAGAAGGAGTGGTCCCCTTTATCTTCAACTAAAGGCCAGAATAAGTTCATGGATGGTCTTCTAATGAACTTTGAGAACAAGAGCCTATTGTTGGGCTTCTGAACTGATTTTACAGAACCATGTTTGACATCTGGCATCACTTTAACTACATTAGCATTATTCTTGAAACATGATTGCTACAAACACTTTGCTTTTTCCACAGCTTGCTTTTGCTTTCTTATTGTTTTATGTATTTACTTGAGGGTTGGGATGCAAAATCTGACATGGCCTCTACCAGAGTCACAGGGTGGGGGGGGGGGGTGTTTGTCCAAATGTTTTTGTTAGCAAAGTTTGTATGTTTGTTATTTCTCCACTGTATACAGCAAGCTTTAGAATATTATGTCTAGAAACACAACAGCCACTGGAATTTAGCTAGTTTGAAGATGCCATAATTATTGAATTTTAAGACCTAATTGAAAATTGCACTTTGGGTTATAATAATTTTGTCTGTCCTAATACTATCAGCCTCTGGTATTTATAAAAGGTACTTTAAAAAAAAAAGACTTACTGATTGACACTGTGCTTATACCAAATATAAAATTGTAAGTGTGGTAAAAATATAATGGGATATGTTCTTCACCTACTGAGTTTATCTGGTATAAATGTCTGGAAGTTCTTTGAAGGGTTTCATTAGTCGGAACCATGACATCATATGAATATTTTGCCAGGTTGTTGTAAAGGCCAAATTTAAATATTGTTGTTTTAATATAACAGCCCCCCCCCCAAAAAAAACCTGAATTGTGGAGAAGGGGAAAATGATGGATTTTGAAGTGACATATCTGTTGTCATCAGGGTATTTTGTAACTCTGTAGCTTTGCATGGGCTTCATTTTGATTTGTAAATGCTTTTTTTAAATTAAATGTTTGATATAAAGTTAACAATAAAATACAAAAAAATAAACATTTGGACTATGTCAAATCATTCCAAACTGTACAAGTATGTTGTTTGTGCACATATACAAAAATAACCTTTCCCCAGATATCAGATGTCACAGAACAAAATCCAAGATTCTGGATCCAGTTTAGGGCACAAGTGACTAAATGGGTCCAGCTTTGTTATTAAGTGGAATGAATCATCTGGGAAGCTGGACTTTGGTTTTAGGAAAAGAAAGCAAATAATAGAAATAGATTTTTAAACTGCCATTTAAAGGGATAGATAATTATTTCAATAGGGTGTACAATAATTATAAGATTTAACCAATATGTATACAGCACTTTTGTTTCTGAGGAAAATTGCTTGGAGGGGGTTTCTTTTTCTTCTCAAATAATTTAGATCGGTCTTGGATAACGTGCCCTTTTATTGTGCATGCACTTGGTCCGGACACCATACTAAGCCAGAACACTCTTTAAAAAGGATACACATGATTTATGGCTGTTTTACTTACTCACTTATTTATTTGTTAAATGTAAACATTGCCCATTTCACTGTTAAGCCCCTGGATCAAGTCCTATCAACTTTTGCTAATAAAGATGTCTATATGTATATATCAGAAATGTATGGGAAAATAAGATCAGATAACCTTTATTGTCATTTTTTTACTGTGGGCACGACGGCACACATCAAAAATGAAATTTAGTTGCCCGTTCTCAAAGTGGAACACATACATGACACACAGCTAAACATACTATGTACAACATATGTATAGACCCACACCCCTACACATACATAGCAAATAAATATTAAATACTGTCCATCTTGAATATATAACGGAAGGAGGAAGCTTGAGAGTTCACAAGGTTAATGCTGTATGGAATGAAACTATGGCTGAATCTGGATGTTTTGCTACGGATACCACGAAGCCTCCTCCCAGAAGGTAATAAAGAAAACAGGTTGTGAAGAGGATGTGTAGTGTCCCAGATGATCTTATGGACCCTGCTCAAGCAATGCTTCTGTGCTATGTCCTGGATGGGAGGGAGGGAACTGCCAATGATCTTTTCAGCCATCCTTGCCACTCTCTGCACCGCCTTCCTGTCTGAAGCAGTGAGGCTTCCAAACCAGACTGAATGTAATATGAATGTAATACAAGCTCTCTCCCTCCCTCCCTCTCTCTCTCCCTCCCTCCCTCCCCCTCTCTCACACACACAGACACACACATAAAAAAACACAGAAGACCAAGCATTCTTACAATTTTAAGATACTATGAAGCTTGCACGTAGGATGCTAGTCACAGTAATCCAAAATTAAATCAATGCATGTTACTTTAGCATGGTGTGAAAAAATAGTCACTCTACACAACTTACTTAATCATACTTACATAATCAGAGAATGTAAGGGTTTGAGGGGATAACCCAACTCCCTTCTTACTATTGCAGTGGCTGTCATGGTTCCGACAGATGAAACTCTTCAAAAGAACTTTGAGGCATTGTTTTACCTTAAAGAATCTTTTATTCGAGTAGCATAATATCAGCACTACATAATCGAAGCCAAAAACTGAATTCCCCTCCCCTGGGCACATAGTATCAAAGCACAATTCCCTCCTCCAATTAACTGTCATAAATCACATTCCCCAATTAGCTTGAAGCGGGCTTCCTCTCCAGTTCTCCAGCCCACCAATTCTTTATCAGCTCTGGGCTCAATAACCTTGATTCTCATGCTAAGTTTAGTGTTGTTACGTCTAGCTAGACTCTCATTCATATCCCTTCCCCAGCATCATCTAACTCTAAAAGTGAAAGGTAAAAAGACGGCTACATTTCCATCTGTTGTCAATGTAAAACATCCGATGTTAGCAGCGTTGACAGTGGCTTTGCAAACAAGGACCAAATACAAGGCCAACAGATCTATTTTGGTGTTATATAGGCCACAGTTTTATTTGGCAGTTTAGCAGAAAGGATGAGAAGAGTAAATGGAGATTAGCAAGTCAAAGCACTTAACAAGTAATCTTCAAATAAATTTTGTGTTGGAACATTAGGCAATCAACATTCTACATGGAAATAAAATCTGAGCACTATGTATCATACAGAGCGTGTTAGAGTGTAATGAATAACCAAAATAGTTTAAAATTCTAGCTTTTTGTTCGTAACACTGATGCTCAAATAGACTTCCCAGGTGTTCTTGCACAGCTCCTTCCATTACACAAAGAAGGAAAATTAAACAGAAACACAAACACTGTGTTATATCCCAACTAGCCTTCAGGATTTCTTATTTCTTTAACAAAACAGATGCTAAACCTAACTTGAAATTTATGTTTCTGACCTTTTTCCGATGAATTGAGGCAAGATCCAAATTCAGAGATAAAAGAAGCTTTGTGCTTGCTCACTAGTCTTACTAGCTTAACCACACCCACTGAGAAGTCAAGCAAGAAGGTCCAAGCAGTGTTTATCAACACATTGCTTATCAAGGGTTGGTAAAAAAAAATTCTTTGTATCATATTTAAAGAAGACAGTTTTTCATGATGGGAATCCATCTTCAGAATTTAAGCCAAGCTAATTATACAGCATTTCTTTTCTCAAAGAGACTCCCTTTGAGAATCACAGGGCTGGAAGGAAAATGGAATAAATCCAACCACATCCTTTGTTTCAAGGGAAGAAGCACATAGTCCTGATGTCATCTTAAGAACCCAAATTTATTTATTTACATATTTATGCATTTGTTGGATTGATGCCCCATTGTAACTAACTCAATTGTGGCATAATTTCAATCCAAGCCAAGTCTCTTTCCACTTCTGATTTGTGACAACTATCACAGCATGGGAAAAAAAAAACAATCCTAAAGATAGAATTAGAGTTTAACTCCAAATGTGCTTTTTTTTTTTTTCAAAAGGCAACTAAACTTCCTTGTTTTTTTTCCTTTGAAAACATTTTGCTTCTCATCCAAGGAGCTTCTTGTATAAGAACTGAAAAAAAGCTTCTTGGATGAGAAGTGAAATGTTTTTAAAGAAGAAAACAAGAAAGTCCAGTTGCCTTTTGGGGGAAAAAAAAAAAAGGACCTTGTAGACAACCATAACCTGGATGATTGAAAATCTCCATAGACAACTAGATTTTAAACCCACCCAGGCATTCATTAAGAGGTCAAGGAAACCAAAGAATGGAAAACAACATGGCACCATGTGGCTTCCAAACAGTATTCTCAGCCTACAAATTACTAATGATTGGACGAAACTTCCCAGTCATATTTAAGGGTAGGGATAACAGTTTAAACAAAGAAGGCACAAAAACAGTTTATCAGGCAGGGGGCCCTGCTGCCCCAGGGCCACAAGTGACTTCAAGTCTTCTTTCTGCAACTCTTGAACCCCACCCCCCATCCCCTCCACAATTGCTGAAAAGGGATAGTTCAGCTTTCCACCATAGTGAGATAGGAACCTGTGGGAAATGCTCTAATAAAAGTATATCATAATTTTAAAAGAAAGTTTTCAAAAAAGTGTTCAGCTCAACATTTGCAGCCTATCCAGATGGCACGGTTTTCTTCAGCAGCAAGTTTGCAGGCGTCAGACCCGACGTTGTAAATCATGTTTGCCACCAAATGTTGCCTGCCTCTGTTATGAGGTGTGTGACAGCTTTCACCACTCAGCAAAAATGGTTGATTAATCAGATACGTGTTGGAATTATCAGCTCCCATTAGAGGAAAGCTATTTTGGAGATAGTCAAAAAAAGCCCACATCCAAACCTATTCAGTTGCTCGATCCCAACTGTTCAGAAAGTCAATTTGGTTCCAAGGTTGGACTTGACGTGTGTCTGAATAGAATCTTCAATTCAAATCTTGATGTATTCATTTAAATAACTCCAGAAGTCTCCTTCCTTCCTTCCTTCCTTCCCTTCTTTCCATCCATCCATCCATCTCAAAAGCAACTTCTACTATCATTTGAACTGTTAAAATATTTCCTGAAAAAACTGAGCAGGTCCCACTGAGGGATCTAGGCAACAGGAATGGAGGGAATTATCCACTGTCTCCACCTTAAATTAGACTTGACAGTCAATACAAAAAAAGGAATCACTTTTGATTGATTGATGGCAATTGGAATTCATTCATAGGTATCACATGTATTGCATCTCTTTACCCCATTGTACTGAACTGATGCAGTCTCCAGAAAAGCATAAAACCACAACTAAATTCTTGCTGGGGAGAGAGAGATCTTCCAGACCTCTGATAAGTGAACAGCAACCATGATAGAGACTTAGGAAGCGTAGCCCTTAGAAGATCAGGAAAGGAGTGATTAAGGAAAGGACTGAAGCTGCAAAAGGATGAACAAGGAGCAAAACATTTTCAAAGGAGACATGCAAATCAGACACAGCATTGTTAGGGAGAGTGTGTCCACTGGCTCCTCCGGGAGCTGCTCCTTCTTGATATTTGAACTCACGTTTGAACTCCAGTGTAGTCTCTGGTTTATGATTATAGTAGCTGCCTCCCGTTGTGAGACCAGTGAAGCGGGGATACATCTCCATGCATTTTTCATTGGCAAGCTGTGTGACCACTCTGGCTTCCAATTCATCCTCGGTTTGGTTTCCAATGGGCTTCACGTACTCTCCTACAGTGACGTTTACACACTCACTCAAGAAAGCCTCCCTTGAAACTGGCTGGCTAGTGTTTGGGTGGTAAACATGGGTGGCAAAACGGTGGCGGTTTTCACTCCACCATCGTTCCTCCTCACTGTCATTAAAACGAAAATACATCTTGGCTATGGGGCTGCCTAAGATGTAGCTCTCAGGATCTTCCACAACAGGTTCCCCCACAATATATTTCACTTCATCACCCTTTGGCTTCGGGTCCGCTGGGTTGCCACCGTGAGGCCTGGAACTGCCTCCTCCTTGGGAGCTGGAGAAAGTACGATACTGCTCGATGCACATTTCCCTGACCACGTGCGTCACCACCTTGGCTTCCATCTCGTCCTCTGTTTTATTCCCAGTGGGCTCGACATATTCTTTCACTGTGACATTCACACAGTCTCTCACAAAGATATCTTGTGGAACAGGCTCGATGTACTGGGGATAGTACACGCGATCCGAATAACGATGGCGATTTTCGTACCACCAGCGCTCCTCGTTCGGGTTGTTAAAGCGAAAATGCAGATTAGACATGGCACGTCCCAGAAAGTAGCCTCCAAGAGCTCCTGCTGCTGCACCTGCAACTGCCGCTCCAGCCACATGCTTCATCTTAGTCTTGGGCTGCTTGGGCTTCCAGATCTTGGGATTATAGTGGTTCCATTGAGGATTTTGGGGGTTATACGGTTGGTGTGGGAAATACCCAGGATTTTGAGGGTTGATCGGATAGGGGGGAGGATGTCTTGGATTTTGAGGGTTGACCGGATATGGGGGAGGATGTGCTGGGTTTTGGGGGTTAACCGGATGTGGGTAGGCAGGGTTGTATGGAGGAGGATTCCCTGGATTAACAGGATTATTTGGGCGATGGGCAGGGTTGTATGGAGGAGGATTCCCTGGATTAACAGGGTAATTTGGGGGATGGGCAGGGTTATATGGAGGGGGATTCCCTGGATTAACAGGGTAATTTGGGGGATGGGCAGGGTTGTATGGAGGAGGATTCCCTGGATTAACAGGGTAATTTGGGGGATGGGCAGGGTTGTATGGAGGGGGATTTCCTGGATTAACAGGGTAATTTGGGAGATGGGCAGGGTTGTATGGAGGGGGATTCCCTGGATTAACAGGATTTGGGGGATGGGCAGGGTTGTATGGAGGGGGATTCCCTGGATTAACAGGATTATTTGGGGGATGGGCAGGGTTGTATGGAGGGGGATTCCCTGGATTAACAGGATTATTTGGGGGATGGGCAGGGTTGTATGGAGGGGGATTCCCTGGATTAACAGGATTATTTGGGGGATGGGCAGGGTTGTATGGAGGGGGATTCCCTGGATTAACAGGATTATTTGGGGGATGGGCAGGGTTGTATGGTGGGGGATTCCCTGGATTAACAGGATTATTTGGGGGATGGGCAGGGTTGTATGGAGGGGGATTCCTTGGGTTAACAGGGTAATTTGGGGGGTGGGCAGGATTTTGAGGGTTGACAGGATAAAGTGGAAGGCGTCCTGGATTTTGTGGGATGGCGGGATTATGGGGTGGATATGCAGGATTATATGGAGGAGGGATTGGGTGGCTCGGAGGACGCCTTGCAGGATTATCAGGCTTCTTCTCAGAGTGGACGGGTCTTCTGGGTTTCTCTGCAGGCTTGACAGGTCTGCTAGGTCGACTTGACTTCCGGCTGCTGCTGCTGCTTAGTCTACCGCTTCCTTTTCTAGAAATGGAGACAATCTCCTCCGTCTGAAGCAAAATGAAGAGAATCACGATTGAGCAGGTCAACAGGAACTTTCCCATGGTGACGACTCTGCAAGATAAAACGGGGAAGACATCCAGTTTGAGAGAAATGCAAGTATGACACAAGTGATACAAATTTGTCAAAGACAGCGGTGTTTCCCCCCCCCCCAAATTATTCAAGGCAGAGAGCTTCTAGAGATTGTGGAGCCTCTCCACAATCAAGGCAGAGAGTGAAAAGAGATTGTGAAGCTTCTTGTCCTCCTTAACCAATTTGCTTTGGCAAGGAAACGATAAGATAGATTTAGAATGGAGAAGACATTTGAAAATTTGAGAAACCTTTGGGAAGAAGAGAAGGGGGGGAAGCAATTCCTGGAGCTGGCTTTTCAGTAGATTTGGTAAAAAAAAATAGGCTTGCTTCATATCCTGTTTTTTTCTACAACGGACTAATGGTTTTTAAAAAAAACGCAAAAGGAAGCCTTTTTATATTTATGTGCTTGGACAGCAGTAAGAGAAGTCAGAAATAGGAATTGTCCTTTTCACAAAGACTTCCCATTATCGTCCTTAACTACTTAAGATTCTGGAATCATTTCCAAATGCCCGAACTTCACTCCACGATATCTAGAGAGAACTGATTTTGAGTCTTTATTGCCCAAAAGGGTCCAATTTGCATCCTGCCTCTATCTTTGTTTGTTAGACCCAAATGAAAGCCTTCTTTCTTGATCTCTTTACTTGGGTTGTCACTTGCACATCTCAAGAGGAAGAGCCACAGAGCAGAAATAAGATAAATTGATGCAAAACAAATATGCAAATTGAATACACAACATTTGATCATAATGGAGAAGACTATACCAGATGGTGGGCCAACATGGTCTTTATTTCCCATCAGAGTGATTTTTCTCTCTCACTCACAGAAGACACAACAAATGTGGTCTACCTACTTTCCCCCACCCCCCCAAAAAAACCCCTTGTATTTTCCTCACCTACCTATCACCCATTTTATAACAGCTGATATTTGGGGCAATAATCATTTCCACGCATTGCCAGTCTCCATGCCTTGAGGGACAATAATGAAACTCACCGGAAAAGATGATGACATTGAACTAGATTAAATTCACAATTTGTGAAGCAACAACAAGTGTACTCAGTGATCCTGCTAAATCTGAACTCCGGTAAACTTGGAGCTTTGGCTCTTGTACAACATTTATATTCAGCCACAACTGCGTATTCTCTGTTAACCTGACTCCTGTATTTTGCTCTGAGCTCTGGAAGGAATCGGGAGGATGGTGAAACAGACTGCTTTGTGTCAACTTAACCAGAAGACCCCATCTGTATTATAATACAATGCCATAATGCATAGCATACATGTGCGCAGATGCTCATTAAACAGTCTTTGTTTACTTAATACAGCTACTTATACTGCTTTCTTTTTACTGTGCATGTTTTAATTCTGAATTCACTGTTTTAAAGACTTGCTTCTTGTGCATATGTTTATGTAAGTACGTTTACAGTATATTATTCCATTGCAAGCTTCTCTTTGAACTCCTGGAAGACATAACAGTACAGAACAGGGGTAGGCAACCTCAGCTCTTTTATGACTCGTGGACTTCAAATCCCAGAATTCCGGAGCCAGCCATGCTGAGGGGAAAGGGAGAGGTTTCCAAGCTGAGCTAGGCTGGCTCAGGAATTCTGGGAGTTGAAGTCCACCAGTCATAAAAGAGCCAAGGTTGCCTACCCCTGGTATAGAAGGAAAGGAAAGGAAAGGGGAAAGGGAAAAGGAAGGAGGAAAGTATTCAAACAGCTAAATGAACTTAAATATTCCAGAAAAGAACATCTCATTCACAGATCAAAATGATCAATCAAGAGCAACAGCTTAGGAAAAATTATTGTTTTGCTTAACCTTTATATGTGTTACGTAAACAGTTTTAGTATATTTTTTTGTTTCTTTGTTTTCTTTTAAGCCTCTCAACTCAGCGTTTCATTCCCATAACTGCTTCACTAGAAAAATAAACTGCTGGAAGAAGGGATGTTACACTTTACATCGCACAACTTGAGCAATAAATGAATTTTCTTTCTTCTTTTTAAGTACAAAGTCATGTTCTTTCGCTGTGACACATTTATTTTGCAACTTTTGGGCGGGATGTCTTTGCCAATAAAACATGTAGGCAAGTGTATTGCAAGCATTAAAAAAAATTAAGAACATTCTAATGATATGGTACAAAGTGCAAAGTGAAGGAAAATTAATCCAGAAAGTCAGCTCTGCTCCTTAGGTATAAATTTTTTATTAATGTAACTGTAACATGAAGTTCTGGCCATCATATTCGGAAAATTTTACCGTTTCTTCTGTTTTCCTTAACCCAATCCCTGAAATAGTATCTTTGAATATTAAACTTGAGTAACTGAATTGGAAAATGAAAAGTGTTACCCTAAGTGAATATTTTATAAATATTTTATATATTCAGAAAGGACATTTTAGGAAAACTTTCAAACAATCTGACACTATAAATTTCTAGGATCTATAAATGGTTGCCTAGGGATTCTATGAAGAAAGGGAGGGGGAGACTATTAGAGTATTTATTTTAAAATATGTTTCCTACTCCTCTAATGACAATTAAAGCAAATAATTTTTTTCATAACCTGCACAGAGCTTACACTGATATACAAAGCCATATGATGAATGATTGGGGGAACAAGATATGTCAATAATAATAATAATAATAATAATAATAATAAAGTTGGAAGGGACCTTGGAGGTCATCTAGTCCAACCCCCTGCTCAGGCAGGAAACCCTATACCATTTCAGACAAATGGCTGTCCAGTCTCTTCTTAAAAACTTCCAGTGTTGGAGCATTCACCACTTCTGGAGAAGGATTAGGGAGAGACTATCACAGCATCTGAGGACAGGGTAGGAAGTAATGGGTGGAAGATTATTAAAGAGCGATCCAACCTAGATTTAAGGATAAATTTCCTGATAGCGAGAACAATTAATCAGTGGAACAGCTTGCCTCTCACTGGAGGTTTTCGAGAAGAGACTGAACAGCAATTTGTCTGGAATGGTGTAGGATCTCCTGCCATAAGCAGGCAGTTGGACTAAAACAAGGCTTTTCAACCATTGGTATGGGTACCACCTGTGGTACATTGGCACCTGGCAGATGGTACGCGACCATCCTAGAAAAGTGGTAGCGGGGGAGGGGAATGAGCTGAACCAGTGACAGCACCGCACGAGCCTGAGCAAGAGATGGCTGGAGCTGCAGGGCTGTCATGGCTCAGCGGAAGCGCCAGGATCAGCGCTTCTTTGGGGCTGTCAGGGCTCAGTGGAAGTGTCAGGATCAGTGCCAGGCTCCAGCTGGAGCTCAACACTGATCCTGGTACTTCTGCTGAGCTCAGAAGAAGTGCGGATCAGCTGGAATGTTGCAGCATCTCCAGGGTCTTGTGATTTACATTCAGATGCTTGGCAACTGATTCATATTTATGATGGTCACAGTGTCCCAGGGTCATGTGAAGTGACCAAAACCTGCTGCAACCACCCAGCAGACGGGGGGAATAAAAATCAAACACTCCACACTCCACCCTCGCTGCCAATCCTCAACAGAAATGCTCACAACAATGAAAACCTCGGACAGGAGGAAGAGCGCTGCCAGGTGGGCAGGCAGGTGTCTTGCTCGGCTGTGCCTTGGGGGGCATTTTTTTCAGTGCCATTGTAACTTCAAACAGTCACTAAGCAAACTGTTGTAAGTTGAGGACTACCTGTATTTTATCACTTTTTTCCTTTTTTTTTTGGGTCATCAAGTTTTTGACACCTTGCTAGGCGTCTGGTGGTACTCGGATGTTGCCATATCCTAAAAGTGGTACAATGGGTGAAAAGGTTGAAAAGCCCTAGACTAGATGACCTCCAAGGGGCTTTCAACCATATTATTCTATGCTCTATAGTTCTTTGTGATCAAACCCAAATTTTGGGGAGAACTAAGGGCACTCTCTTCCCCTCATCCTTTTTTTTAGCATCCAGAAACCTCTTTACATTTTTTGCAGAATAAATGGAATAAAAACACGTCATGAGGTTCGTTACTGGCTAAGAGTTCTAAATTTGGTTTCCTAAAAATTATCTCCCAGCACACCGCAAAGAGGATAAAAAGGGTACGTGCTGTCTCGTGGAATCTTTTCATGAGTGCCAGACCATGTTTAAATTCATTATTTCTACCAAAATATTTCACAACAAGAGAAGAAACCATTTAAGTGATTGGGGCTGGGAAGGGGAATCCCACCGACAAAAGTCGTTTGGGCTCATCATATCCTGTTGCTTTCTGGCATTGCTTTTAACCTCCCATAGGTGCTACAGATCAGCACAGTATTAGTGCATCAATTGGTTTTTTCATATTGTCGGTTTAATTTGTGGCTTTAAGTTCCTACCAACCCGTTCTTAAAATGACAACAATTCATTTGAAAGAGAAGAGGATCTACCAAGGATTTGTAAAAATAATGCTATATAACATAGTCATCCATGGGTGTGGCTAGTACATGGTAGGGAACATACCTCAAAATGGGCTCGACTTTACCACCTTGTATCACGCACACTTGTCAGAAACAGAATTATTTAGTAATGTAGAACAATAGCAATAATGCAATAAAGCAAGAAGGTGCTACCAACTTGCTCCAATTTTCATCACCTCATAATTAATGGGCAGAACAACTAGGTAGAAAATAAGAACATCTGCAGTGGAATTGGCCCAAACTATAGATCTATTGATAAATGCAGGCATCCATTTCATGCCTCATAGAGTTGCTGATCGTAGCACTGTGCCAAATCATGCAAACTAATTGCCAACTTTTCTTTCACTTTGGAATGATATAGGGTTGGACTAGAAGATCTCTAAGGTCTTTTCCAACCCTGTTATTCTATGTTCCATCAACCCAGTCAAAACATTGTCTCCCCCCTGAAACTACTGATATATAAATGGGGAGGAGGTGCTCCCTTTTTCCCCAACATTTAGAAGCATCTTGGCAGGCAGGTTTGTAAACACACACACACACACACACACACACACACACACACATTTTAAGAACATGTCTGCATCCCACCCAGAACTACTTCTGAAGTTGCAATTCTTTTCTCCCTCCATTTGCTTTTCATTTAAGAGGAGTTTTACTCTATCAAAAAGACACTACAGCAAATGTGCTGGGCCAGCAGAACATCCTGCTTTTCTCTATCAAAACACACTCTGCTTCTCTGTGCTGGGGAATTCCAAAATATAGCAACTGCTAGTCAAGAAAATAGGCCAGATTAAAGACACCCACAATGCCTTTTTTTAATAGAAGTGCCTGTTCTGATCGCCCTTAACTGCACAGCACTCTCAGCAGACGTTTCAGATGCTTCCACCGCTTCTCTCCTCCACGCTTGTCCTCTGAGTGGAAAAAAAAAATTGCCTCCAGAATTCATCTGGATCCCGTAAAATCATCTGTGCTCCACCAGGCAGTTTATCACTTTAAGAGTTGCATAACGTGAATGGAAATGTACTCCTTCCCAGCAAACAAGGTTTCTCTTCAGGCAGAGGCATTTTTAACCTAGATAGGAAACCCGTGGCTTCTCTAACATGGTTGCTGTGCGCGCATTTACGCATTTCAGGAATCAATGAGAGAAACTTACCCTTGTGTCGACAAATTGAAGAAGGGCTATCCGGAGCTCTCTCTTCTCAAAGACGCTGCTCGTGTGCTTTTTCAGCTCTGCAAATCTCCAGATGCTGTGACTAACGGTAGGTGGAGCATGTTCAGTGCCTGTTATGGCCTGTTGTTTATACCAGAATCTACGCCATTTGAAAAACAGCCTCCGAACCAACCCTGTATTCTAATGAATGGATTAAGAAATGACACATTCTACAAAGCTGTTCCCAGAAAGGGCAGGAAATGTTTTAACAGTCCTGGGCACCTAGCCAAGACTTCCAGCCTTGCTTCTGAGTTTGACACACAAAGTGGAAAGGAGAGGTTTTCATTCAGCACAAGAAAGAAAGTGACCATTTTTCAACAAAGGGCATTTGGCCTTTTACTGTATTTCTAGGATCTGACTCTAAGCTTCAGGAAAATCTAGGAGGAGGGTTCGTAAAAGGAGCTGATAACCAACACAATCTATTCAGAAACAGCAGCTAAAATCCACTCTGCAAGGGTCAGAAAAGAAGATGAGGGCTCTCTTCTACAAAATTGAGGTAAGCTCATTCAGTTGCTGCCACCTCCCTTAGCCTCATCCAATCATGTTATTGCAGGTGGTCCCCGACTTTCAAAAGTTCATTTAGTGACCGTTCGAACTTACAACGGCACTGAAAAAAGTAATTTGCCTTCATTGAAAGCGATTTATTACCATTTTTCCACACTTGCAGCATCCCCACTATTACGTGATCAAAATTTGGACGCTTGGCGGCTGGCATGTACTTGTGATGGTCACCGTGTTCCTGGGGACACGTGATCAGGTTTTGCGACCTTCTGACAAGCAAGGTCAATGGGGAAGCCAGATTCACTTAACAACCCTGTTGCTTACTTAGCAATTGCAGTGATTCACTTAACAACTGTGGCAAGCAAAATGTATAACGGATACTCCCCTATGTGCTGGAAGTGCAAAAAAGAAAAGGGCACATTTTTTCATGTATGGTGGACATGTAGAGAAGCACAGGTGTATTGGCTTATGGTCTGGGAATGACTAGGCAAAACATTCAATACAAACCTGAGACATTACTATTAGGAATATTAGGGGAAAATGTAAATAAAGGTGACACATATTTAATCATACACGTGGTAACGGCGGCAAGGATACTATTTGCTCAAAAGTGGAAAGCAATGGAAGCACTGAGTGAGGAAGCACTAATAAAGAAAATTATGTATTGCGCAGAACTAGACAAGATAACAAAAAGATTAAAAAATCAGGAAGAAACAGAATTTTATTGAATCTGGAATAAATTTTATAAATGGAGGAAAAAAAATGGGGGTCAACAGCAAAGATATAAGTTAAGATAGAGACTAGGAATGTACAGTTGTATATAGATATATCATATGTAATTATTGTACAATATGAACTGACAAGACGGAGATGTATGTCAAAGACGATTTATCATGTTCAATGTTTTTAATCTTTTTTTTCCTTTGTACACAATAAAAAATTAAAAAAATTAAAAAAAACTGTAGAAGGGGGCAAAACTCAGTTAACAAATGTCTAACTTGTGGGCGTTAAGTCAAGGACTACCTGTATTATTTTATTTTATTTTATTTCCACTTTTGTCTCACATAAGCAGTGGTTTGTTGCCTTGGACCCCTGGCTCATTTTATCCAACAATCTGTTCTCACAGGAGCCTCACAACGAACTGCACAAGGAAGCCCACTAATCTCTCTGCAGATGGTCTTCAGAGACAGCCATGCTAACGTCAAGGCTAAGGGCCATTCCTCTGGACAACGTCTAACTAATTTTGTGGAAGGTAAAGTAGCACCTCCACTTTATTCAACCCATGGACTATTTTGTAATTCTCAACCTGTCCCCTTCCAATTCTTCTCTTTTGGGACTAAAAATTCCAAAAGGCCATCTTTCCTCATAATAAAATTCTCCAGACCCGTCACCATCTTGGTTGCATTCTGTTTTATTTTATCTGGTATATTTTTAACCTTTGTGCTTCTCTACATGGAATACTGCTCATTGACTGTAATAAAGGATGGGTGACTGACAAGAGTTGAACAAGATAAATAACCTTTTTCAGAGGTCGCAAAACCAGGAGCGTTTTCAAGTGGTGTTTTCGGTACAATGGAGTCCTATGTTTTAAGACACATGGAAAAACCTGGACTGCGATTCACAGTCAAAAAGGTATAGAAGCAGTTATTCCCAAATTATGTCTGTGCTACTTGGTATTTTCACATGAAGACCTGATTTCGTTAACCCAAAGATGTTGGCTATATTTACACAAGGCACTCTGGTTATTGAATTAATCTATGTGCTCTATACAGGAAGTCCTTGACTTGCAGCCATTCGTTTAACGACTGAACTTACAACAGCAGTGGAAAAAGTGACTTACACATGGTCGTCACATTTAAAACCATTGCAGCATAGCCACAGGATCAAAATTTGGGCACTTGACAAGTAGCATGTACTTAGGACAGTTGCAATGCTACAGAGTCACAGGTTTGCTGTTTGCAACCTTCCCAGCTAGTTTCCAACAAGCAGAATGAATGAGGAAAGACAGATGTGTTTAAGGACTGTGTGATTCATTTAAGACAGGAGTGTCAAACTTGCAATGTCACATGACATGTGAAATGACATGTCGCAACATATCGTGACTTTTTTTTGCATTGCCAGCATGGTATGATGCATCCGGCCCATGGGCCGGCAGTTTGACACCCCTGATTTAAGAAGTGCAGGGATTCACTTAACAAAGAAGACATGAGAAGCTGTGAGGAAGATTATTTGTGGAGCTTTTGTACTGTGTAATCCTATTTCTGCCACCATTGAGGGGCACTTCTAATTTGTGTTTATTGTCTTGGGCTGGCTGAGGAACCTGTTGGCAAAATGCCCCTTAGCAAATTAACATATTGCTTTTGATGTTGGAAGCATTCCCAGAAAACATTCCGTTTCATATCCAAATTCTCTTTCTGTTCCTTGGCAAATCTGAGAAATAGCAATCACAGAGTGAGCTGGGCAGATATTAGTTACTGTATGAAAAATACATTGGAAATAAAGCAATGTGCAAATTAATATTAACTATATTGAATTGCAGAAAAGTGGAGGAAAGAAAATGGTTGCTGGGAACATCCAACTTTTCTTTCTTGGGGAAAAAAAAACCCCTGAGTTTTAATTTCCAAACTTCGTTACCTTTTTTGTTGTTCTTTCACTAGTTGGGAGGAGGTGCCATTTCAATTCCTTTTCAGGTTTCTCTCAAGCTTCTGGCAAAACTCCAAGCAGGATTCACACCATGATTTGCTGCTCACCATAGCAGATGATAGATAGATAGATAGATAGATAGATAGATAGATAGATAGATAGATAGATAGATAGATAGATAGATAGATAGATAGATAGATAGATAGATAGATAGATATAGGCATAGGCATAGATATAGATAGGGCTTTTTTTGTCATAGAACATCCAGAACGGAGTTCCGGCACCTTTTTTGGATGGAACCTTGTAGGGTAGGCAAGGCAGGTTGTATGACATGTGTGAGTTCCAACACCTTTTTTTTTTTTTTTACAAAAAAAGCACTGGATATAGAGATAGAGATAGAGAGATAGAGATAGATTGATGATAGAGATAGAGAGATAGAGAGATAGATAGACAGACAGACAGACAGACAGACAGACAGATAGATAGATGATAGACAGAGAGAGAGAGAGACATACAGACAGAGCTTTATTGTTATTTTTTTTTACTGTGGCACAACAGCACACATCAAAAATGAAATTTAGTTGCCCACTCTCAAAGTGAACACATACATGACACACACCTAAACATACTATATACAACATATATATAGACCCACACCCCTACATATACATAACAAATAAATATTAAACACTGTCCATCTTGAATATATTACAGAAGAAGGAAGCTTGTGGTCCTGGCAGTTGAATGATAGCCCTCTTTCCTGCTTAAATTAGCCGTTAGTATCATTTCCAAGTTTAGCAAGCAGACTATTGTCCGGATACAGATATTCAATGAGAATAGTTAGTATGATAATAAATAGCTATAGTCAAGAAAAATAACACTGATCATAAAACATATCGATTAATCAGTAAATTTCATTCATCTTATTAAATTTCACAATCATTTCTCACTAACTTGTTTTGGTAACCATTGGTAAAAGTTTTCCCATGTTTTAAAATAAACTGATTGTTGTACCCTCCCCTACCCCAACCCTATCCCTGAACCCCACCCCGAATCCCAATACCTATATTGATCCTATTAAGTTTTATAAAACTTAATAAAATATTGTTTTAAAAAAATAGCCGTTAATCTTCAGACATCACCTCTACTTCCCCATTTCTATGCCATTTGCTTATCTCCTTTTCCTTATAACCACTTTTTCCACTCTGTCTTAGCATTTACTTTAGTAAGCTGTGGGTAGGGAAGATGACGCTGCCTCTGAACATCAGCGTGTCCTTGAAAACATCAGGGTGTGGCTCAGCTATCAGAAGCAGCTGCAACATTGGCTCGGATGCTTGTGAGCAGAGTTGTGAGTTAATGAATGAGTGTATGGGGAAAATGGGGTGCAAAGTGTTTCTGCCTAACTGCAGCTACTTTTCACAAAACCAACTTTATTGCCTTATACTATTATGGTTGGGGATGATGGAAGTTGAAAGTTATATTCCTTAACCACTTGAGGAACACAGATTCCCCACCTTGATGTACTGCATGATCTTGAAATAACTTACACAGGTCTCAAATGAATAGTTTTAATATGCCTCTTTTCCCAGGTCCCATGATACAGTAAGTAATGCTGTATTCCAAGTTCTCCACATAGCAGAGATTGTTGTAAATCTGGAAGGAATTAGAATGAGATAACCATTATTTATCTTTCCATTCTTCTGTAAAATTCTAATTAGCTTTTATGCTACTTATTTACTCGAATTCCATTAGTTTTACTGCTACTCTCCCCAACCAACCCCTGACATTAAGATCTGTTTTTGTGGTACACACATTTTAATCTAGCACGGCTGTGCACTGGGTTTTATCAGGCCAGAGATATCCCAAAAGCTGGATGTGGTGGATTCGGAGCCAAGCTATATAACCAGAATAGGATATTGCACAATAACAATTGCTTATACCCTTGTGCAGTTCCAGTGAAGAATAGTGTTATTGAAGTAGACTGGAAATCTTCCAGGACTTCCATTACAAGGTTACTTTCTGTTAAATTAGCAGAGTCAACATAATTATTATGCAATATATGATAGGCAGCAGTAGGAGTTGAAAGGTGTTAATTAGAGAAATAAACTATGTGCTGTACAGCCTGCTTGTGCCTAGCAAGTTAGCCTATTGCCTTCGTGAGAGAAAGAACCACGTTCTTGTGGCCAAAACTGAAAATACAACAATCAATCCTGTTGGATCTTTGAACAGCAGAGTTAAACTCTGCTTTACTACAAGTAGCAAAATACGTTGATACTTTGAGGATGGTTCGTGACTGGATCATGGGATATTTCTCTGGATTGAGCAGAAGCTTCGGGTGAGACCACCTCAGTGGTAAGTACATTTACACTATCTCACTGAAGCCAAGAGGGGTTAAGTGTGGGTGGGAGTTGTGGTTCTTTTTCTGTTGTGGGTCTCAGGTTCACCTCCACTCTTGTTCTATTGTGTCTCTGGATTGTTTGTTTCAGGTAGGCCTGGAATGAAGAGCCACGGTTTTGATTAAACCATTAAATCAGAGGTCCCCAACCTTTTGGGCACCAGGGACCGCTTCCGTGGAGAGAGGTGCATGGTTTTGTGCGCTGCCTGCATCCCACAGATGGGGCTTTGCTTGTTTGTGTGGACCGGTTGCTGGCATGCCACAGCCCAGTACTGGTCCACAGACTGGGGGTTGGAGACACCTGTGTTAAAGGGTAGAACTCTAGGTAAGGATTAGATTTTGCAATAAAGGGTTAGGTTTAGGATTAAGGATTGGTCCCCTGAGTGAATGTGTGAAAGGTTTTCTTTTAGGGCTCTCCACAGCGCATCAAAACAGGGTGTTGATTCTTACTTAGTTGCCATGCTCTCAGGAAAGAGATGCCAGAGAAGCAATGGACATACATATCCTTATTGGCTATGGAAGATTATGTGTGGATGCCTAGGCAGACTTAATGTATGGCACCAAATGCCAATAAGTGAACCCTATTATAGACCTGTTATATATAGGGTGTCATGGACAGGGTAATATATTAGGAATCTGTCATCTGATTCTACAAGAAAGTGAATAATTGACCTCCATCAGGATAGAAGTCCAAGCCCATGCACACATTTACTATACACACCAGTTTTTAAACAAGTTGTATCACTGATGCTGGATACCAGAAGGAACCTTGGGATTCTCCAGAAATATTGAACTAAAATTTCCATGATCCCAACATAAATTTTAGCCATGGTCAGGGCCAGCTTTAGGCCATGACTAGGTTGGCACTGTCCTATGGTACCAAAGGTCACAGGTGCCAGAGTTGCTCCTCCTTCTAAATCATTCTAAAAATGCAAATCTTCACATCGTTGTATCTTTTAGGGGAGGGTGCTTTTGTTGATTCCTGGCAACTGCCTGGACAAGTCCCAGCAGTTTTCTTACCCAGGTTTTTCAGAAGTAGTTTGCCATTACCTCCTACCTGAGGTGGAAAGAGTGTGACTGGCCCAGGGTCATCAACCTGGCTTTGTGCCTAAGGTGAAACTAGAACTGACAGTCTAGTTCTACCTCTCACAGGAACTAGAACTTACATTTAGGCAAGAAAAACCAAATGTACAGGTATAGTATGGGGGTACCTTGCTCAATAGTAGTAACTGTGAGAGGGATCTCAGAGTCCTAGTGGACAATCATTTAAATATGAGCCAGCCGTGTGCTGCAGCTGCCAAAAAAGCCAACACAGTGCTGGGCTGCATTAACAGAGGGATAGAATCAAGATCACGTGAAGTATTAATACCACTTTACAATGCCTTGGTAAGGCCACTCTTGGAATACGGCATCCAGTTTTAGTCACCACGATATAAAAAAGATGTTGAGACTCTAGAACAGTGGTTCTCAACCTTTTTAATGCTGCGACCCCCAACTGGTTGTAAGTTGAGGACTACTCAACCGGTCGGAGGTTGAAGACTACTCAACTGGTGCAGCACCGTTTGCAGAATGGGACTTTTGGCGGGCTCAGCAGGGCAGAGACAGCCTGGACAATTCCTATTGGCTTTTGAAAGCCAATAGAATTAGACTCTATTCAAGAGAGTCTATTCTATTGGCTTTCAAAAGCCAATAGAATAAAAGGGAGTAGCACAGCTAAGGAAAAGGGGAAAAAATGGCGGACTGCGTTGTTTGGCGACCCCCGTGAAATGGTCGTTTGACCCCAAATGGGGTCCCGACCCACAGGTTGAGAACCACTGCTCTAGACAGAGTACAGAGAAGAGCAACAAAGATGATTAGGGGACTGGAGGCTAAAGCATATAAGGAACGGTTGCTGGAATTAGGTATGTCTAGTTTAACGAAGAGAAGGATAAGGGGGGACATGATAGCAGTGTTCCAATATCTCAGGGGCTGCCACAAAGAAGAGGGAGTCAAGCTATTTTCCAAAGCACCTGAAGGCAGGACAAGAAGCAACGGATGGAAACTAACCAAAGAGAGAAGCAACCTAGAACTAAGGAGAAACTTCCTGACAGTTAGAACAATTAACCAATGGAACAACCTGCCTCCAGAAGTGGTGAATGCTCCAACACTGGAAGTTTTTAAGAAGAAACTGGACAGCCATTTGTCCGAAATAGTATAGGGCTTCCTGCCTGAGCAGAGGGTTGAACTAGGTGACCTCCAAGGTCCCTTCCAACTTTATCATTATTATTATTATAGTTTTCTGATTTCTAGCCTGACGCTAGCTCTCTCAATGCAGCTGTCCCATACTGCTTAGATGGATTGCCAACGCAACTAGCATAACAAGATCTTGTTCATATTTGGCATTTGTAATCTTTGCCTCATTTGTCTCCCCCAATCCATTGTCTCTTTTCCTCTTTGAAGTCAGAGTGCAAACAAATCAGGGGCATGGTTGGTTTCACTTATTCTGCCGTATATGTCAACAGTGGTACAAGGCCCCTCCAAATACTAAACCCGCACATTCAAGTTCAGAAACAAAACTGGGCCTCTAGCCAATACGGTATATATTTCTTCACCCTATAAATATTCACAGTGTATATATTTGATGATATCTTCAAAA